CCCTCCCCCTCCCCGGCCCCCCTTTCCTGTCTCTGCCTTCCTCTCTACAGCCTGTCTGATTCCAGTAGGATGATATGGGCTCTTCCAAGGGAGAGCATTTCCTTAGAGAAGTGGAATCAGTGGCCAGTAGGCAAGGATGTCAGTGCACAGGTGTCCTTTTGGTGCTTAGGACCGGAAACCGTGGAGGTCTTGGCTGCTTTTCACACAGAAGAGGCATCTTTCCGCAGCAGCAGCAGATCAATGGGGCCCAGGAGGGAATGTCTAGTCCTGGCAGAGCTCTCCCTACCCCTGACGCCTCAGCCCTGGCTGTTCCCTGTGCCAGCCCATGTGTTGGCTTCTGCCCTTGGCCAGTTCTGCCTTTGGCTTCAGGAACTCCAGATAAGCCCTTGAATGAGTATGTGCTGGTGACCCAGGCTTGGACTTGCAGCAGCTTTGAACATTCTAGTCTGAGGGAGCCCTGCCGCCTGCACAGGCTGTGTGGGGCCTGGTGTATTCAGCCCTGCCGCTCCCCCTCCTCCCCCGTGTGTGGACACCCCGCCTGCCAGGAAGTGGCTCCAGGAGCACTCGGTCCTCCCACATGAAACCCCCTCCCTGAGCTGCCCCTGTGACTGAGCTGTCACCATTCACCCCTTCCTTCCTCATGGGATTTTTTTTCTTTCTGTTTGGTTTTCTCTTTTGCTCGATGACTCTTCTTTCTTTCTTTGCTTCCCTGTAACCCTGGTGGGCTGGACGTGGGCCTCTCTTGTTTCTTCATGTGGCTTCTCTGCTTCTTGGTTGGCTGGAGACCGTGGCCGGAGTGTCAGTGCCCCCGTATTAGGTACTGTACCCTTCCAGGTGAGGTGGAGTGTGAGATGCCCCATTTCCCTGCCCTAACACCCCCTCCTGAGCACTCGGCCAGGCCCCCCTCCCACCTGCATTCTTCAGTCTCCCCTGGGAAAAAGGAAGCACGCTCCTTGTTGGAGTTACCTGCAAGTACTTGGACCCCAAACCTGAGAATCTGAAGACATGAGCTCACCCAGATTTGAAACCTTAAACTCATTAATTCCTCAGAGAGAAACCTGGAGTGTGCTCGAGCCCCCTACCGAGCTCTTGGTGTGAAGTTCTGCCCTGAAGGCAGAGCTGGGCAGACTCTTCCCAGCTCTCACTGAAGGACGGCCCAGGTGTGGGGGAGAAGTGTCTGAAGGCCATGTCCCTTCTTCTCATTCACACATCATCACACTTTCAATCTCAGGAGACACAGAAAGCGGTTGGGATGATACTACTGTGGCCAACGACTTCTCATCCACGTCATCTGGTACTGAGTCGGGTCCTCAGTCTCCCCTGACACCAGATGGTAAACGAAGCCCCAAAGGCATCAAGAAATTCTGGGGGAAGTAAGTCAGTGGTGATGATTGTAATTATATTGCTTGGGATTAATATTATTCTTGACTGGGCAGAGTCTACATAAACCTCTGTTCAATTAGATGTTGGAACAGCAGTGAATATAGAGTGGTCATGTTCAGAGACAGGAATCTGAATGACTTTTCTAGGGCCCAGAGAAAGAATTATGAAAGGCACCCCTTAAACACAGCCAGTTCCCTTACGTGCCATTCATTCTAGGCACCCACCCACTCCACACACCCTGAGCACATTCTCTGCAGCTCAGCAGCATGAGCTTTGGGAGAGACACACATGTGAGACCAATTTCTTCCTTTCTAGGGGTCAGCCTGTGTCTTAAGACATCTTTGAAGATAGAAAACTGACTATCTGCTGGCCCAGCTGCCCCAGTCTGTGACATGGAGCAGAAACCAGGGCCTCCTGCCAGGCACCAACCTTCACTTTCCCTCCCGCAGGGAGTGGCATAAATCACAGGCAGAATTAGAGCTGAGGCTTGGGTCTAGCCAAGGAGCTGTCACAGATCATGATCCTTGACCTCTGGGGAGCCACTGAGAAGCAGTGCCATCAAGAGTCCTGGGTCTGGCTAGTGTGGCCCTGTGTAGGAGGGGGTTGCTGACGACACTGTTTGGGACTGTCCCTGACAGTCTTTGTGGGCGCCTCTCCACACAGAATCCGAAGAACTCAGTCAGGAAATTTCAACACCGATGCGCCGGGGATGGCAGAATTTCGGCGAGGTGGACTCCGGGCAACTGCAGGGCCAAGGCTCTCTAGGACAAGAGATCCCAAGGGTCAGAAAAGGTAAGGTTCCCTCCAGTCCATCTACAAAGAACTGTATGAAATCCTGGCCAGGGTGGAGTGGGGACAGAGGCTGGATGTCCCAGAGAGTCCAGAGGTGGAAGGTGGGGGCTCCTAGTGCAGAGCTTCCCAACCTCTCTCACTTGATGCAAGTGGACGACACCCATGCTTATAGGTACACGGAGGAGGAGGGAGAGCGTTTTCTTAGGAATTCCCTCACTTTAACAACTCAACTAGGCATTCAAAAAAAAAACTTTAACCAGCACATTAGGGGTATTTTCCTGAAAGGAATCTTTTGAAATATCTACTCTTCTAATATTCCAGAAATCCCCACTTATTTTTAAAAATGAATATAAAGCTGCTTTGTCAACTTCTTTCCTCTCACCCCTGAAAAAAGACTCTATGGGGATTTTAAGTGTGCCATTAATATTCACACTTGACATGAAAAATTGATGTCTCTAAGAAATGATGGCTTTGTAATGTCCAGTCATGCTGTCTAGAAACACGATCTAGCTCTTCATTTATTCATGTCTTTTTATATTGCTCAGTTGGATGTTACAGTTACCACCTACCCCCCCATCCTCACACACAGTGACACGGGATCCACGAGTTCTTTGTAAAGGCATCTCCCAGACATTTTATAATTTTGGTTGCTATGAGTGGAGTTTTTAAATTATTTTAACAAAAAAAGTTAGTGTCTATGCACTGATGGTATATGGAAAAATCGTTGATTTGTGTGTTATAAATACTATGTGGGTGTGTATTTTATAACTAGCCACCTTACTGGGGTCTCTGGGGTCTTCTAGGTGGACAGTCGTATCATCTGAAAGGGATGGCTTTCTTTTATTTTTACCTTTCTAATGGCTACACTTCTTATTTTTTATCTCTTCTTATACTGGCTGCAATTCTCAGACCGGTATTATTAGTACTGATAAAAAGCATTGCTTTTTTATTGGCTTTAATGTGGATGCCCCTAGTGTCTCATTAATAAATAAGGTATTAGCTGTTGTTGATTGGAGTTTGTTTTTTGTTTTTGTTTTTTTATGTTAGAGAACTGACTCCTTTTCCTGATTTTCTGAGTGTTTTCCTAAAAGTGGTGTCGAACCCTGTGGAAAACAAGCTTCAGTGTGGCTCTTTGTCCTAACGGGACAAGACTCTGAGCCTGTGGCACGTGTGCACATGTGCGTGGATGCCGGCACATGCAAACAGCCTCACAAGGATTGTGTAACCGCCCCATGCTCTCAGCAGCTACAGATTTGTAGTTCAGACCAGCTGTTATCACAGAAAACTCTGGAGACCACCTCAGATGGGTGTGTTGTAGTGGAATTTTTTTCAACTAGATCCCATGGTGGGGATTGTTTGTTAAAACACAATTCCTCTCTTGTGAGGCTCAGTTATGTTCGGATGGAGCCTCAGTCCCCCCCCACTGACAGGCCCGTGCTGTTTTCCTGCTTCCCAGTGATGCCAATGCCCCCTTCGCCCAGTGGAGCACAGAGCGCGTGTGCGCGTGGCTGGAGGACTTCGGCCTGGCTCAGTATGTGATCTTTGCGAGGCAGTGGGTGACTTCTGGCCACACTTTACTAACTGCTACCCCTCAGGACATGGAAAAGGTAAGGGCTGGGCCCTGGGCCAGGAGATTCCCATCTTTCCTCAAACCAATGCCTGCAGAGGTCATGCCCCTGCTCCCCCCCCACTCTTCCGCCCCCCACTGCACACACAGGACAGTGGACAGAGGAGGCCGAGACTTTCTCTGTCGTTGCAGATTGATCCCTTGACACTGCAGGGTTCCACTGCCATCCAGGTGGAACATCTCCATCCAGACATAGTATCCTCTAAGGGCCAAACTGCCTGCCGAAATTTAACATCTGTCTTCATCTTTCAATTTCAGGAGCTAGGAATTAAGCACCCTCTTCACAGGAAGAAGCTGGTTTTAGCAGTAAAATCCATCAACGCCAAGCAGGAGGAGAAGTCTGCCCTTCTAGACCACATCTGGGTGACACGTAAGGACAGGCATATGTGTATTATGTTTCTGGCAGCTCTAGGAGGAGACAGTTTCCCTGTGAATGTGCACCTCAAAGACGCTGTCTCCCTGGGGAAGGGGATGGATTACTAAACCTATGGGGGATACAGCTGGAACTCCAAAGTGGTCATTTGCTGCCCTCTTCTTTGGCATCCGCATGTCCCATTCTTGGGAATCCTAACACGCCTGTTTCTTCACGTTTCCATAGGTTGGCTGGATGACATTGGCTTACCCCAGTACAAAGACCAATTTCATGAGTCCCGAGTTGATGGGCGCATGCTGCAGTACCTGACTGTGGTGAGGGTTTTTCCTTTCAGTACTTCAGTCGTCCCTGTGAGCACCCAGGTGTCCCTATGTAGCTATTTTTTAAAAAATATATGTTTTTGTTGATTTCAGAGAGATGAACGGAGAGGGAGAGAGAGAGAAACATCAATGATGAGAGAGTCATTGATCGGCTGCCTCCTGCACGCCCCCTATTGGGGATCAAGTCTGCAGTGGCCATGTTCCCTGACTAGAATCGAACCGAGACCTCCTGGTTCATAGGTCGACCCTCAACCACTGAGCTCTGCAGGCTAGACTATGGTGGCTATTTTAAACTTGATTCCGCCACCTCCCTCACATTCTTAAAGTTTTAACATCATGCTGTTTGTCATGTAAGAGTTTCCAGGTAGCCAAGTACGAACCATGGTGCTGAGAAAAGCTGTTGGTGTGCCCATGTGCACCTGCTGAGATGTGGTTGGCTTGCCTATGTTTGGTCTGGGAAGGAACCTCAGGGGTCTTCTGTCACTTTGGAAACTCTGGTTCATCAACCCAAACTTTCCTCTTCCAGAATGATCTACTCTTCTTAAAAGTGACCAGCCAACTACATCATCTCAGCATCAAATGTGCCATCCATGTGCTGCACGTCAACAAGTTCAACCCCCACTGCCTGCACCGGCGGCCAGCCGATGAGGTGAGTACCTGTCTAGACAGCCCTGAGGCAGGACACCTGTAAGATTGGGTGCAAGGAAACGAGAGTAACAGTATCACGAAACGGCTGCATTTCGGACCACAGTCCTGGGGATCTTTCCTTCGCTACTGCTTTGTGCTGCCCTGGACACCCACGCCTGTACGCTGTGTCCCACACGAGCCCCTAGGCCTCCAAGTTCTCACCTTCCCCTGTGGAGACACACTGTGGGCTAGAGGGCGGTCACAGCAAGTCTTTCAAAGCTGTCATAATAATTAAAGGAGATGAGGAAATGGTGCGGAGAGGGAGGGGAAAGACAAGCAGGAAAGATGGGTGTCAAAGGAGGCAGAGGAGAGGGGACGAGGGGCCCATAAGGAACCAGGCATTTGGAATGGGTCTGCCTATTGGTAGATAGGAAATTAACTCACCCTCAGGCCCAGGTGCACAGGGAATCCTTGAGCAGGTTTTGCTAGAGAAGAAATCGTGTAGGCAAACACAGGGACCCAAATACTGTAGAGGTCCCTGGTAATGTTCCAGGAACCTCAGAGTTCCTGGTGGGCCCTGAAGCTAAAGGGTTGTGACTACACCCCGTCTCCCGTGTTCCTAGGAACTAAATCTAACTCTGCTGTAAGATGAGCTCCGCTTCCTGAGGGACTAAAGGCTCCTACCTCTTCCTTCCATCACCCAATTTTTCGTATTCAACAATATGTTTTCATGTCTCCTGTACATCAGGCACAGGCTGGGTATCTTGAAGACCCTTTGCCACTTGAGGGCATGTAGGCACAAGTATTTTAATATGTGCTCTCCTAAAATATTTGGCCAGACCAGGGAGATTTTTTTTTGTCTATAAAACACTCAGCTCATAATTGACAGTCCTCTTAAAGTTGTGTTGAGTCACCAAATGAATGTGTGCCTTTTGGGACTATTGGTTCCAAAATTAACCAGAGAATTAGGGAGTAACAGGATTCTGGAATCAGATATCTCAGTGTAGAAAATACTGCAAGATTCCATGAGAGCTCTGTTTCTCGGAAACTGGAAATGCTCTCAGGCAGCTGCTCTTGCCGCCTGAGTCACCTAGGCATGGGACTTGCCTTCTGGCGAGGCATCTGGGTGCAGGCTTATTCCCAGGCGCTGCTCCACAGAGCACCGTGGTGCGGTCTGTTAGACCTAATCTCTTCATTTTTCCTCTCCCCTCACAGAGTAATCTTTCTCCTTCAGAAGTTGTGCAGTGGTCCAACCACAGAGTGATGGAGTGGTTGCGATCTGTGGACCTGGCGGAGTATGCACCCAACCTTCGCGGGAGTGGCGTCCATGGAGGTCTCATTGTGAGTGGCTCTTTGGACGAGCCCACCTGCCTTGGTGAAAACTGGGCTATTCAGAAACTGCTTTCTTAAGAGCTAGACATAAATCCTAGTAAAAATTATTGATATTACCTCTGAAATCCTTGTACAAGTTGAAGTCTCAAAGTGTTTTGATAATTTGTGGTTGAGAATTAATATACCCCATAGAAACAAGACGGCCTCTGAAGGACTCCCCTGGCCGCAGACCAGAGGATTCCAGGGAAAGGGCTGCGTGAGAATCAGCCCTCAGTTCCGTCTCCTCCTAGAGGAACATGGGGGCTGGGGAAGCGATTATCATCACTCAGATCTGTCAAGTGGCGAAGCCAGCGGGGGAAGGAGGAAGGGGTGGCTTGGATATCATCCAGAGTGGGTCCCGGGAGGGGGGATGACCTTACCTGAGAGGTCACAGTTCCCTGCTGGTCTGTGAAAATGAGATGCTCAGTCTACAACTGTGCTGGCGTCTGCTCAAAGCCAGGCCTGTGCCAGGCCTGTGCCAGGGAGAGAGGGGAGTGGGGTATAGGTCAAGTGGGCAAAACTTCAGCCCGTCCTGGGGGCACTCCCAGGTCATCACCTGGGGCCGTCATCGTCACCACTGGGTGGTTTCTCTGGTTTCTTCTTAGATCCTGGAGCCACGCTTCACTGGGGACACCCTGGCTATGCTTCTCAATATCCCACCACAGAAGACACTCCTCAGACGCCACCTAACAACCAAATTCAGTGCTCTGATTGGTCCTGAGGCTGAACAGGAAAAGCGAGAGAAAATGGCCTCACCAGCCTACACACCGCTGACCACCACAGCCAAAGTGCGGGTGAGTGGCTGACCCTGCGGAGCGCACAGAGGCCTCCCTCTGGCCCTCATGTCGTACAGCAGCTGCCCCAATCCTGCCCCAACCAGTGGTGCCCCCTAGACGGGGAGGCGCTCTCAGCTTCTGCTTCCGTCCCATTGTCTGTTGGCCTTTGTCAGGACAGTCCCCTGCCACTCTGGAGTGCGAGGAACAGAGTTCAGGTTTCTTTACAGACATCACGTGCAGGAAGCAGTTATTCTCGGGAGGCCAGGAGCTCGTGCTCTACCCCCAGGCTGCCTAGGCTCACTTTCCCGGGTCTGGGCTCCCTGCAGTCAAGCCCAGCTCTGTGCCACAGTGCTGTGGGGCATCTTGGTCAAAGTGTTCCTGCCAACACAGGGAGTGTTCCCCTTGGCAGCTGGCCCAGCTGCCCTGTGGAGTGGCCAGCACATAGTTACCCAGAGGCCCTGAGGTTGTCCAAGTACCAGCACCACTCACGGGGGCCTCTGAATGCCACCAAGCCCATTTGACCTGCCTGAGCCACATCGTCCTCAGGCCATGTCCTTCCCAGACCTCCTTCCTCAGGGTGGCAGGACAGGAAGTGTGTCTGGGGAGACAAGCAGAAACACTGCTGGGTGTAGCTGGAGAAGGGAGGGAGGGCTGCCTAGGGCTGTCCCACATGGCTTCACAAGGGCAAGCGGAAGGGAGAGCTCCCCTTGTGGTAGCAGCTGTGGTGAGGCAGGTCCTCTAGGTATCCCAGTCCCGTGTCCTCCCCTCAGGCACCTCCCCTGGAAACACCAAAGTCACTCCTGGGACAGCAGGGCATGAGGCTCAGAAACAGAGTCTGGGAGGAGCAGCTCTCCATGTTCAAGATCATTTACCTGTTGGTCTTTTCCCAGTATAGAAATTGCTTACAGGAGCTCTGTTTTGTTGAGTTTTTCTTTCTTTCTTTTTTTAAATGTTTTTATTGATTTTTAGAGAGACGAACGGAGAGGGATAGAGAGATAGAAACATCAATGAGAACATCGATCGGCTGCCTCCTGCACGTCCCCTACTGGGGATTGAGCCCACAACCTGGGCATGTGCCCTGGCAGGGAATTGAACCATAACTGCCAAGTTCATAGGTTGACGCTCAACCACTGAGCCGTGCCAGCCTGGCGAGAATTTTTCTAGAAGCAGTTTGCATTACTTCTTTTGTCAGAGGCCTGCCGTGTAATGTATTGTGAGTCATACCTGCACACCAGCTTGATGATCTTCTTATAATCTTGCATTTGTTGTGTTTTAGCCAAGGAAACTGGGATTTTCACATTTCGGAAACATAAGAAAAAAGAAGTTTGATGAATCAACGGACTACATCTGCCCAATGGAACCCGGTGACAGTGTCGGTGACAGGGTTTATAGTGGTTACCGGGGCCTCAGCCCACTCGACGCCCCCGAAGTGGATGGGCTGGACCAGGTGGGACAGATTAGCTGATGCCCTTGTCACCTGTCCTCTGTGTGCACCCTGAGAACACTGTAACACCGTTTGTGTCACCACATAACTGCATCTCACCCCTGCACACGTGCATGACTCGCAGAGAACAATCCAGCAGCTGTGTTCCCCTGCGCCAGTCTCTCTCCTACCCTGAGGGTGGCCAGGGTGTGGAGTTGCACCTTTGCTAAGGGGTCAGACTTTTGGAATGGTTGCCAAAGGTGGACTGAGGAGTGTCTTTGCTAACAGATGCTTGTACGTTTCTAGTAGTAATTCTAAATGTCCATCTTCAGCATCAGTGGGAATATACAACCTTGGACACAGGACTAGAGGCCACGGACAATCTCCAGAGGCTCAGCTTTCAGGCTCCTCTGCTGGGCTTCAGTTGAGGGGCAATCTCAAGTGCCTTACGCTGGTGGCCAGAGTCTTGGCTGAGATCTAAGGGACAGCAGCAGGGTCTTCTGCCACAGTGACAATGTAACTGTGTTGTGCCTTACTACCAAGGTGGTCTCTTCTTCCTGGTAATAAAAACAATATTTATGTAGAAAGAAGACAGTACAGCATATCTTTAATCTCGGCGGGGAAGAGAGCTGTGCACATCTGGAGCCAAGTCCTGGTCCCTGCACAGCTTGAGAGCAGCGGCACTGAGCCAGGTCCTTGTCGTGTGCACACTCAGGATCTGCTGAGTGTCCTGGCCGGGGGGGTTGGGCAAGGAAGGACCCCCATGCCATATCCTCAGAGGAAGCCTGTGGCCCTGTGGCTTCAGGCTCCACCTCCCTCGTCTCATGCACTTGCTGAGTGTAGGCCACATCTGTCCTGCAGACCCCAAAGTTGGTTTCCTTTTCAGTGGCTGAGCCACCTAGTGAAGGGGGTGGTGGGAGACAAGAAGGTTGTCTTGCTGGAAGGACTCTGTCCTTTTATGTACTGTGCCAGCTTCTCCGTTATTGGCCCAGCTGGGCCTGTAACCCCTGTGGGGGTTGGTCCTTGTTAGCAGCACTTCAACAGACCTGCCGTGATTTAGAAGGTGACTAACTGATAATGGGTCTTCTAGATGGGCTTTGTCTGGCCAAGGACTGTGTGAGGGACATGCCTAGCTAGTCTGCGTGCCATGAGATTTCAGCTTGCCCAAGGGCAGCTTTTGGCTCTGCTGGCTCCCCCAGGGCCTCATCTGTAGAAGCCTAACAGGCTGGTGGTGACTCTCTGGTGGCCTGAGGCCTCATGACCCCATTGAGGGCACTCTGATTCTGTCCCAGATGGAGCTGATGCTCAGATTTGCTGCTTAAACTACCTGTGACCTCAGGCCATGGCCTCTGGTCTCCCCTGACTTCTGGCCAGTGAAAGATGGACAAGCTCACCAACTGCACCGCTGGTGTTTGATGCCAGTATCTGGGACCACTGCGTGGCAGGTGCTCCTCAAGGCTGGTCCTGGGGACTGCAGTTGTAGAGCCACAGTCAGGGCATGCTCTGTCCCTTATTTATCACATCCTGGGGAGGGTATTTCTGCGTGCGCCTGTTTTCAAACTGCATGGAATTATGGCACTAATTTTCTGTGTCATAATTCCATGGCCTTTTAAGCAAGGCCTCTACCCCTTCGTGGGCCCTCATCTTCCCACCTATAAAATGAGGGGTCATATGTGATGCCCTCAGAGGATGCTTCCAAATTTACGGTGTCCAAACAGGTTAAAGGGAGAGGGAGTGGGCCAGCATTGTCTGAGGAGGAGGGTAGGGAAGGGATGTCCTAGTTGAGGAAGCTCCATCCGCAGCTCCCTGAGGATGCTCACCTGTGCCTATACCGGGCATCAGTGCCCAGGGTCCTGTTGGTGCCAGAAATTGTCAGTGTATTCAGCATCCTGAAGGCCTTCGGCTGCTGTGGAGATAGAGCATTGAACATATACGAAAGGGCTGTTTCTGACAGGCCCTGCCTGTGTCCTGCCCTGGTATGCCCTTAGAGCTGGTGCCAGGGTGCAGACCCAGGAGAGCATGTGCATGGCGGTGTGGGACACTGGAGGCTCTGCTTTTCCCCAGGGACAGAGGCGGCATGTGCTCTGCCCACCTGTCACTCTCAGGTCCCAGCCCAGTCCTGTCTGCACCCTCAGGGGAGCATGCCTGAGAAGGATGGGACTTGCATGCCATCTCTGTGAGTCTCGAGTGGAGTCCACGTGTGCTGACCGGGCTGCTGCCCATTTTACAGATGGCCCCTTCGGAAGGCACTGTGACGCAGATAGGGCTCCTCTCCCAAGACATTCACCGCCTCACGGTAGGACCCTGACCCTCTCTCCATAGTAGAACAGGTGCTGGGAGGCCCCATGAGTTTGGTGAGGTGGTGTACAAGGCCTGGGACAGCTCTGTCCCCACTCCAGAGCTCATGTTATCAGCACTGCTGGGGTAGGACAAAGGATGGTGCTGAACCAGCTGTGAATGGAGAGGGTTATGGACCTCGAGCAAAAACCAGCTAAAGCATCCGCTTCCCAGGCTCAGAGCTGCTCAGTTGAGGAAACCGAGATGCTCAGCAGCTCTGGGTCACCTGCCTAGTCAGCCCAATGCCCAGCCTCACCTCTGGCCTGGTGGACACTATTCTACCCTTTTTGCCCATGAGACGCACATATTTCCCATCATGCCTCTGACATCACAAATATCAAGTCAAGTGAGCATGTCCTGGCGTGCCCACTGAGGACCCTACCATGGAAGGCAGCATGGTGTCTGGGAGAGGAGCAGCCCTGGAGTGAGGCCAGCCTGGTTCAAGATCCTGCCCTCGGACCTTGGGCAAGTCATTCTCTCTCTGACTTAGCCCTGGCTTAGTTATCTGTGAAGCAGGGCTAGACACATCCTCCCTGCAAGGGTTTCAGGCAGAGTAGAGCTGGCAGGAAAAAGCCAGCCACAGGGAAGGTTAGCATTTTTGAGGCCCATACATTCCAGGGCCCATTAGTTTCCATACTGCCATATCACTGAGCCCACTGGCTGTGGCATCTGTCCTGTTGAGGCCACTACCACTGTCTTAGCTTGCCTAGATCTATAGAGACACATTAAAGACGACTATATCCAAGGGCATGGCAGGGCAAGAGGGCATCTCTGAATCCAAGCAGGGTCATTTTTATTCACTTTTTCCCCCTTCACTCACACACCTAAATGAATCCACCCAGCTCTCTGCCCTTCTCAACTCTAATAGGTTTCTCATGGCCTTGAAATAGCAACTTTACCTCTAAGGTATGAGCAATTTATTATCTTGATAGTGCTGTCTATTCCGGCCCAATACTCAGGGTCCCTGGGGCACCATGAACTTACAGGGTGCTAGTGTCAAATGGGACCACATCCAGTGCCCACTGCTTCCCACGTAGCTGTTGTAGGGTGGCCTTCACCCAAACCCTGCTCAACTGCGCCTTTGGCTGTGTCCTTTCAGACCATGCTGAGCCAGGACCAGATGCTGAACGACTCTCACCTGGCTGCTCCCAGCTCTGAGGACTGGAGATGACTTCTTCATGGCAGAGAGCCGAGAGAGGAACGTGGGGCCCGAGGCTTTCAGTGGGGAGCTGGCACACAGCCACTGCAGAGCCCAGGCTGAGGCAGGCAGGGCGTCTCGGATGTGGGTGCTTACAGGAGGGATGTAGGGCTGTGGACAGATGTCAAGGAGGTGGCCTGGCCCCAGCACCCGTTTTCAACTGTGCTGTGCTCTTCGCCACAGCTTTCATACCTTTTGTACCTTTATATGTGACTGCAGACCACTTTTGTGTGGAGGCAGTGAGGTCAGCGCAGCCGCAATGGTTTGTGCTGTTCCTGGTGATAGCTGGGAGGCCCTTACACCAAAGAGGCAGGGCTGTGTGCTTAAAAGCTCTGCTGGAAGCAAAGTTCTGGAAAAATGTTCTGAATGTTCTGTAGTGACTGAGCTGGGTGAGATGATAACAGGAGTCCCCTCCCTGGGCTGCTTCCAGACAGAAGCACGTGTTCTTACTCATGGGAATCTGGTCCCGGTGAGGGGTTTGGGGGTGAGAACAGGAAAGGAGCAGTGAGACTCCCTCCCCAGCCCTGGCTGCCCTCAGTCTACCCTCATCGCAAAGCAAGCATGTCTCTGGTTCTCGCTGCTGCTGGGCCTCCCAGCATGGAGCAGAAACGGTGCACTCTCTCTCGCTCTCTCTCACACACACACACACACACACACACACATACTCCCTCCTTTCCCTAGCTGACACAGCACACACACAGCCTCCAGCCTTTCCCTCATCAGCCTCAGATGCAATTGTCTGATCAAACAGCTCCCCCAAGTGGAAGGCCCTTGGGAATCCCAACATTTCCACAGTAACTCTCCGTCTTCCAGAGAAGCCTATAAACCTCAGGTGTCTTCCACCTCAGGAGAGACACCGCGTGCCCCTGCCATCCAGTTCCCTCCCAGCCAGCCTTCCCCCTTGGTGACCGGTCCCCTTGTTCTGTTCTCCCTCCTGTGGTGGCTGTCTCAGGCCTCATGTCCCATCTGATTTCCACAGTTGGTCTCCTACTTGGTCCCCCACCTTACCAGTTGGTCCCCTCCAGACTTTCTTTATCCCATCCCGAGTGACCTCCCCAGAGCACTGTTTTAGTCCTGTTACCTTTCTGGCTAAGGGCTCCTCCGATCCAGAATTACCACAGGTTAGAGTTCAAAAACCTTCCTCAGCACCCAAGGCCCTTTGGAATCTTCAGCCCTCCCGAGCCTGTACCCAAGCCTGCGCTACTCTCTCCCCATCACTGTGGGGTATATTTTTCTCCAGGTCCCCATCACAAGGCCAAATCCTGCCCGTTGAGACCCAGAAGACACAGCCTCCTTCAGGAAGCCTTCCCTGGTGTTTCAGTTGGAGTTCCGTCGCCCTTGAGCCCGGGCACTTCCTGGCTCACCTTGAAGCATAGTGTCATCTTACTCTCTTGCCATACCCACCCTCAACACAAACTCACCGAGCACCCGCTATGGGTAGGCTCCGTGCAGATAGTAAGACCCGATCCTGGTCCTCACAGGGCTCAGGAAACCCATGCTGCTAAGTTCCCCATCCACTCACTCATTCACATGTGCAGGTTAAGGACCTTCCGTGCTGGAGTGAGGAGGGTAGGAGCACAGGCATGAGCGCCAAGGTGGTACCTGAGGAAGCTGACGGTCTAGGGAGGGAATAGAGATTTGTCTCAATCAAGGGAGTGTGCTGATGCTCCAGTAGACCTCTCCACAGCCCCAACAGCAAATGGTCATTTTTAATGGAAGACTGGGGGCTGGGACCAAAAAGGCTCCAAGGAAGAGGTGACACTTGAATTTGGAAGATGAAACAGGTTCCCCAACCATGCCAAGGGGAAAGGCACGCCAGAGAGATGGACTGGAAACGTCTCAGCATATCCTAGGAAGTCAGTTACGAGAGCAGTGTTTCTCGACCTCACTTAGTTGCCGTTTGGGGCTGGATAATTTAGTGTTGTGGGGGCTGGCTGTGTGCTGTAGGATGTTTAGCAGCACCCTTGGCCTCTCCCTCTAGGTACCAATACCACCTCTTTCATGACGGCCAAAAATGTCTCCAGACCTGGCCAAGTTCCTGGGGAAAGATCCCCCTAGTAGAGAACTGCTGAGCCAGAGAAGGGGTCAGAGTGGGAGGCCCAGCGAAGGAGAAACCTGGTGAATCAGATGGAGCCAGATCAGGAAGAACCTTGTAAGCTGGCCCCTGGAATTTATCTCAGAGACCCAGGGCGGCCAGGTGGGGACTAGTGAAAGCAGTAAGAGGTTAAAGCAGGAGACAAGCATGGTTAAGAAAAATATCCAAGGGCAGGACCTTCCCATCATGCAGTGCTCAGCAGAGTATCTTTCTCTGAGGAAGGGATTCACTGAGGAGGTGTTGAATGTGTGGAGAGATGGAAGCTGGCTGCCTCCCAGCACCCAGCCCCCACCAGCCCTCTGGGTGGCCACCCTGTATGGGACCACCCTGTGGGCACTACACAGCTGCACTTGAGAGTTGTCCAGAGCTGTGTGCCTCTCTCCTGTAGCCCACTGCTCTCTCCCCTCCCTTACCCACATATATGTTGAAGAAATCCTGCGACACCGAGGTTTAGCAACACGACTACAATGCCAATTTTTTTGAAAAGGAAAGGAAGGAGTGACTTGGAATTAAACAGAGCCAGGTTTGAAGCCCAGCTCTGCCACCTATGGGCTAAATGACCTGGGGACAATAACTGTCTCTGAGGCTCAGTTTCCTCTTCATCTTTAACTTGAAGAACAAAATCCCCACAGAATCTGTCTTGTTATGAGAATTATACAAAATCCAGTGCAGAAGGGGTTCTACCCACTCACAGGTAACATAGAGCAGAAGCATGTCATCCTGGCCACAAGCAGCAGATGGCAAGAGTGGTCCCTCATGGCCTCTGGGTTTAGTGATAGGAAGGATTTCAGGAATAGCTTCCAGAATCTAATTCTTTTTGCAAGGTCAGAAGCTTCTATCTATAACCACCCGTACCCCACCACACCAGAATGGGGCCTGGCATTCAGAGGACACTAGCAAAAATGCACCCCTTAGCTCCATGTGTTGTGCAAAGTGCAGGGAACCTAGGACTCCTGGAGCCCACCTGCCTTGTGGATTCACCTATTGCCCTGAGGTGTGTTCCTAACACCATTCCTCTTTCCAGGGTCTCCCTCAGGAGAAGGATGAGTACGCATGGAGGGTGCCTGGGCCTCTAACAGTTCTGACCTTAAAAACAAAACACTATTTGAGGGGCCTGGGGGGTCAAGAGAGATTATTGGGAGCTGACGTGACCCCACTTGGATTCTTCTGAAATTCTGCCCCCGCACTTTTGCCAGTTCTGACCTCCCATGGACACACACAAACCAATTCACATGGAGGATAGGCCAAGGCCTCTAAGTGCCTAGCAGGCCCCCACAGAGCCACACCTTATGGGCCATCTGCTTTGTACTGAAGTTTATTTCACTAAACCAAGGGGAAAGATACTAAAATGGAGTCCCTTCCAGCCTCCCCAAGCAAGGAGACTCCAGAAGCCACTTAGTCTTCAGCCCCTTAAACCCGCCTTAGGCCCACCCAATAGGGGAGCACCAGCGTGCACAAGGGTACACTGAGGCACTCTGAACATGGTGACACTGGACTCACTTTGAAGCACACGTGAAGGACTAGGGAAGTTTGCTGAGAGCAAGGGAGGTGTTAGTAGGTGAAAATCATGTCCTTGGTGTAACCCAGTTTCTCCAGGTTAGGGTGAGCGGCAGTCTGGACCAGGGGTGGCGGGCCACACACCAGGATGAACGTGGACTTCCCAGGAGCAGGGAGGTGCTCCTTGATCATGTCAGTGGTGATGAAGCCTGAGCTGTAGTTCCAGCCTGAGATTAAGTAGAAAAAAAGCTGCGGAGGTGCCAGGCCGAGTCCCTGACCCCAGGGAGGCGAGGCTGCGCTCCAAGGTTTGTACTGTTCTCTGCAGAGAGCTGAAAAGTAGAGGATATGGGGCACCCTGGCAGCCCCCTTCAGCATTTACCCTAGATCCCAAGCTCTGAGGCTCTTGACTGGAGTCTGCCTGCTGCAAGCACTGGCGAAGATGGAGAACAGTGAGGTGGGACGTGCCAGGTATGGTGTGAACCAAAGCCAGCTGGAGCTGCGAGTGGGCAGTGTGTTGTGGGGTTTGCAGACCAGCTTGGTTGGGTAGCTCCCTCTGCTGACAGTGAGCTGTATGACGAGGCAGACACAGCTCCGTGCAGCGTGGGAGACGCAGCCTGAAGGGTGTGGTGGCCTTGTGAGGTGTGCACAGTGGTGGCTGGGTACTGTCTGAGGCTCAGCATGTGAGGACTGCTGTCCAGGTGAGGTGCGGGGTGAAGGGGTCAATGGCCATATTACAGGCAGTGTATGTGATAGCTCGGTGGGATGCTGTGTGGAGTGCAGTGTGGGGGTGAGTACTCAGGGTGGCCCAGTGCTTCAGTGCCCCTCCTGATAGTCAGTGCAGTGTGGGGAGTGCTGCTGAGATATCAGACACCTGCCCTTCACAAGCAGGTCATCCCAAATCCCCTCTCCTTCAAATCCCTGAATTTCCAATGGGAGATAAAGCCCAAGTCCTCAACCCCTAAGCCCAGTCCTAACAAACTAACATACAAACCCAGGGACTAGTCCCTGAGGTGGGTCAAGAGTTGGAGCTGACCCACGGTGGGGACATTGGGGTTCGTACCAGCAGGAGGCCTGTCCAGGGTGTACCACAGGTTGAATTGCTCTGGGTGAGCTCTGGCAGCTTCTTCAAGCTCCTTTCTCATCAAGATATCCTCCTCTGTCTAGAAAAGCAGCAGCATGAGCAACCCCCCAGGGACTTCCTGCTTTTTCCCCAGACCAAGCACAGGGGGCTGCATACTCCTGCCCACGCTGCCACCAGTCTAGCTGGAGCGCTCCCCGCAGACCCCTGGGGCAAATGAGAGTTCTGCTGCTGTTCCTACAGAACGAACCCTCTTCCGTGCGTGGAGGAGGTGGGTGACTGCCCTCCAGCTGGAAGGCCATGGCTCCACAAGAGTGGGGTGGCTTCCTCAGAGGTCCCGGCCCACCTCTGACATCCACACTGAGCACCAGGCACAGCAAACCCAACTGAAATGAGCTTAGTGTGGGCCCAAGATCTCCTGCAGGAAATGGAAGGGGCTAAGGCAGTAATATGTAACATAATATGTAACAGCATTGGAGACCTAAAGGAGAGAAAAACAAACGCTGGAGCCTCATTTGGGGAAACGGAGCCAAAGCCTAAAGAAACTTGCCACAGGCTTGAAGATACTGCACAGAAGGCCTGGATCTTAAAACCCTTTATAGTTCTTGTCCTAATAATTACACTTCTGGGATTCTGTTTTAAAAAATAGTCTGAAAGTGATCAAGTCTAGGGACAATTATTCATCACTATCATTTACGACTGAAAACCACCCGAATGTCGATTTAGTAAATTATGGTGCAACCTGATAGAGACTGTGACAAAAATATTTATAAAGAGTTTTAATGAGAAGAAAATGGTTGTATGGTAATGTTGACTAAAAAAACAAAGCTATATATAGGGTGTCCCCCAAAATATATACATACTTTAACAGCTGATAGCTCAATTTTGAAAATGAAATGTATTTTAATAAACACTGCCTTTATAATTATTCAAAGTGTGTGTATACATTTTTTGGGGACACCCTGTATATATAATTGTAAATATATAGCATGTAGAGAAAAAAGACAAAAAGAAGCCAAATATTTATATGCTTCTGTATTTTCCAAAATTTGCATTGAGGGCCATTATGATTTTATACTCAGTTAAACACAGAACTATGTACTCAGGAAGGAAGAAAAGCATAGTGCTTAGGGTTGGTTGGGGAGACAGAAGAGTAAAAAACAAAACAAAAAAACAATGAAAAAAACAGGCCTGGACTCAGCTTCTCCCTGCCAGCAGCCCTAGTTGAGCCCACCAGCCCATCCACTGCCACAGGCACCCAAGCAGCAAGACCCCAGTGGGAGGAGAGAATGCAGAGCCCAGCTCAGCAAACATTCCATCCCTCCTTTGAGCTCAGGGCTGACTCAGGAGAACTGACCTGGTTGGCAAAGATGAGGGATATACTGGTCTTGTCATGGGGGTTCTTGATGATGTGGCGAATGAGCTGCAGCATGGGCGTGATCCCTGGAAGAGTTTGTGGGCAGGCCAGCTTTCCCTGGTCTGGATGCAGCAGCTTGACCCCAGTTCTACTTTTCTCACTTCTGCCCCCAAAACTCACAGTGGGGAACCACACTTCATTCCGGGTTTTCCCTTCTAATGCAACAATAAATCTAAAGCCCTTTCTCATTCTCATATAACAAGGTTGGTTTTGGTTTGGGAACTGGGTTTCATGCCCAGGACCCTCACTAATTATCTGACTAGGTGATTCAAATACCTGTCTGATCTCTTCAGGGTCCTCATTTGTAAAACAGAATTGATGAGTAAATATGATAGTTTTAAAAGTACCTGTTATGGTACATGGGGAGTTTAGGTCTCCTTACATGTTTGTTCTCTTCTTTCAGGCATTCATTTTCAAAAGATGGGGAGTAGGGCTTGAACTGGAGCCAGGAGTCCTTGGGGGACCATGTGTGGGTCTGCCCAGGTCCCCAGCCTCTTCCCTGTTCCCAGCTTCACTTTAAGCCTCTCCAGGGCTCCTGGGCAGCCACCGTTTTGGTGAAGGATGCAGGGCGCACAGGGTCAGTGTCAAGGCCTATCATTGACCCTACATTGCTGTCTGAAACAGCAAGGGAAGGGCTCTCTCACATCTCCCCTTCTAGGATCAAATGACCCCAAGGTTAGAAAGAGCTCAGGGCTCACCTATGGACGAAGCACCCAGAAGCCTCTTACCTGTGCCCCCAGCAATCATTCCCAGTTGACCGGCCCATTTTTCTTCAGGCTTACTTGTTTTGTTTGCTTTGACTGAAAACTCCCCTGAAAACACAAAGGATACTGCTGACTTCTGGAGTTCCTGCCTGAGAGCTGGCAAAAGAGCAGACTTTCCTTGGGACTTCCAGGGGCAAGTCCACCTGGAGAAGTGGCTGTACCATTTTAAGCCAGAGGAGCCAGGGTGACCTTGTTGGCCAGCTTGGTGCCCCAGTGCACAAAGTGGGGATAGAGCCTGGGCCTCCACAGGGAATCACTGGATCTTTTCTTCTGAGGAAGAAGGGAGGTTACACTGGAATGGCTAGGGAGCCTCACAGAGCACTCACACCCTCAGCAGTGAGGGAGTGATGAATATGTGAGTAAATAAGTGAGTGTGGACTCCACCCATCCATTTTTCAGCATTAGTAGGTTACCTTTATGTATCAGGTGTTGTGCTAAAGATGCAGTGATGAGGAAACACCAATCATTCCCCTGCGTTAATGGCACTTACAATCTTGTGAAATGAGGTGTGAATGAATGTGTGATGACTTTAAGGACAAGTCCAAGTGACTCAAATCTGAGGAGTTTTCTAGAACAATGGAACCACTGCCACTGCAGGAATCTGCTTCCTCCCAGTGGGAGGCCTAGTGTGAACCCAATACCTGGTCCATGATAGAACAGGCGCCCAGTTGGCCCTCGAAAAAGAACAGTTTCCCCAATTTTCAAGTTCTCCAAGTACTGGCTCATCTTCCCTCCTTCTGGATAATGAGGGTGTACATTTTTGAAGTAGATCTGAAAAATAAGGCAGCATGGTTTTCATAGCCTCAGACCTGAGGCCACAAACGCGCATAACTCAAAAGTGCATTTGCTGCTGGAAACCATGCAGAGAAAATCCTTTGCACTCACAGTTGCTCTTAGCAACCCCTGACATTTCACCAGATCAACAGCGCCACTGTTAAATGACACTGTCCAGGGCACGTGTCCCTTCTCCACCCCGCCACCCTCAATAGGCTTATGAGAGTGAGGCAGCTGGACACGGAGGCCTCACTTACCTTTATAATTAAGTCCACAAAGCCTTGATCATCATCACTGGACACAGGTGTGTAGGCCCTGACCACCAGATCATCATCAATGTTGGCTAAGAGATGAACATAGTTACCTGCAAAAAGGCACTGAATGTCAAGTCAGCCTGGCCAGCCTAAACAGGACTCAGCACTCCCCGAAAGGACGGAGCTTCCAGGACATGAGTACATAGTGTGGCAGAACGCATGGAAGGAGGGCCAAGCAGGGAAGGAGCCCAAATCCAGGTATCTTAATCCTACGCCTGTCCTTGTCACTCTATGTGCAACCTTGGGGAAGTCGCTTCATCTCTCTGGGTGAACAGGGATATACACCTGCCCTGCCTCACCCACAGGGTAGCTGTCAGCGTCACTTACAGGAAACCTACTGCTAGTGCAGGTTAACTGTGTCAGAGTACTTTGTGGAACAGGAATTGCTCACTGTTGGAGGCTATTAAATATTACAGAAAGGAGTGTTTCCCTTTTAAAGCAAAATATCTTGCCTTCATAAAGTCATTTCTTCCTAAACTGGATTCATCACTGGGGCCAGTGAATGAATCACAGCCCCTATCCCCCCATCTGCAACCTGCTGCCTGACATAGAGAACGGTATGCAGAGCCCCAGGATTTACATACCTACAAACCAGGAGTTCTAGAAAGAGCATTGTGTCTTTCTGGATGATGACTCTGCTGAGGGGCAGCAGTGAAGTTTTGAACCATGTAATTCTGCCCCTCCAGGGTAGAACTGAATGGCCCAGCTGTGGCCAGAGACCTATGGATCATAGATAGCTACATCCCATTGCTACATGATGGGCTGGGTTGTTGATATTTCTGCTGGATCTAACATGGGAGACCTTCAGTGACTAAGGCAATTAGTGGTGAGGGCAGAAGCTGCAATAAAGAGATGCTAAGAGGGCAAGAGGAAGTTCTGTGTCAAAGTATCTGAGGGAGGAGAAATTGTATACACAGGAAAGATGAAATGGGTATGTAGACAGAGGTGGAAACCTGGAGAGAGACAGAGAGAGAGAGGAGGAGGGGGAGGAGGAAGAGGAAAAGGAGGGAAGGGACACTGAAGGGGCCAGTCTTTCCAGTAGTTTCAGGAACATAAGCCATAGTCTTTGAGGAGGCCTGAGGCACAAACACTTTGGGTTAAGAAAGGACAGGCACAAAGACTCTGATGATGGCCTGGCTGGGAACCAGGGATACTCAGGAATAAAAGCCTAAGGCAACTTCTGAGAACTATTCTGAAACTGGAAGCCTTAGAAAGGCTCTTTCAGATGCAGCAAACCTGGGCCTGGCCTGGCAACATCCCTAGAGAAAATGGGGCAGCCCAGGCTGATGCTATAACCAGTCTCATTTCAGCTGAGCTGGGAAGCATCAGCAATCTCTGCGTGCTCACAGCAGACTCTCCCAGAAGCCTCTAAATCACCTTGTCCCACTAACTACACTGCCTGCACCACAGATGAGGAGAGAGTGTCATGACAGATTCTAAAACATTCTATTTCTCAAAGTCTTTCATCCTCTTAGCCTTCTTGCCAACAGGACTGGCCCACAGGCCAGACAGAGGGCTAGACAGCAGGCCAACACTGAGCTCTCACGGATGAGGAAGAGGCAGGAAGCAGCAAGGAGGTGGAGGGGCCAGGTCGGCTGCCTAATGGGTCATTTCAATGCTTGGTGGAGTGAGGTCAGGGTTTTGTCCCATGTACACAGGACAAGCAGGCCATGGGTGAGGATCTCCACCAGGCAGGCAAGCAGCACTAGCAGTTTGCACAAAGTTCTGGTTCCTAGGCTGTGGACTTAGCAGAGGTTTTCGCGCTAAGACTGGCTCGGCTATCTAGTGGTGGTACAGACTAAAATTGGGATGACTCAGAACTCCAGGAATGCTAAGACTTGGTATTTACAATGGGTCCCTCCTTGTATGGGTCTGTGGTCCCTGCTGAGAATCCATGTGGTGGAAGGAGGGGCACCAACTCCTTCCTGCCTCTCACACAACCTGGGCTTTTCTCCTGACTGTAGGGGAACATCAGTTCCTTTCATCCTTTCCATGAGCACAGACTTTGCAGTTTCTGAAGTTTGATATCCATCAATCACTTCATCTTCACAACAAAGGGGCTGGCAGGCCCGAGAAATCCCATTTCATAGTCTAATGCTCAGAAGGGTTTAGGGACGTGTCTAAGGTTGCCTGGCAAGGAGCCTGCAATAAGATCTTAGAGCTTCTAACTCTAGACTCACTCCTTTTCAATGCTCATTGAGAGATCACTTCTGTGTCAGCCCAAATCTAACAGTGAGAAAGGGAATGGATTATCCCTAAGCCCATCCCCAACCACTCTGAGCTCATATGTTTCAGGAAAGGTAGCAGGGCAACTTCGACACCCCAGCTGAGTTTGTAAGTTTCTGAGTTTCATCACCCAGTTCTGGTAATAAAACCAAACACCACTCACCTACAGGAAGCCCTAAAACATGTTCTGGTGAGGGCAGTCCAAAGCGGAACCTCCTGGTGTTGTGGCTGATTTGCTAATAAACCAGAAAACAAAGGCAGGCTCTGTCAGCTTTCTAGAAGCCTTCCTGGATAGCTCAGATGCTTGGGAAAGGAGCTGAATTTGGCGCTTTCTAGTGTGGGCATACACACAATGGCAGTGGGGAGCAAAGTGGAGGCCTGTCCCACCACTCTGCCTTCCCAGCCCAGCACCTTCCCCACCACTTTTGCCCTCCTCTCTTTTACCTGCTGACAGTGGGCTAACCCATTACCTCTTTCTCAATCAAGGGCAGTGGATACTTGGCTTCAGGGTTCTGTAAGGTGATGGCAAGCTGTTTCCTCCTTGACTTCATGTTTTTCCTCAGGGCCAAGATAAGTATCGTGAGCCCCATGATGGTGAGGGCAACGATCAGGGACTGGCTCTAGCGAGACACAATGTGAGTAGGGTACCTCAGGTCCTGCCTGTCTTGGGCAGTAGTTGTCAGGCACAGAGGCACTTTCTCCACATCCAAGGCACAAAAGCTGCGCTGTGCCTGAAAGAAACTGGGTAGAGAGAAAGGTACTAAAAGAAAGCAGGCTGAGTCTATGGGGGAACCCAGGAGGGATGGGGTCAGTTGCAGGTCAGACAAAGCAGGATGTTTCAGGCTTCCCGAATGAACCATGCCAAGCAGATGGCCTGGGAGTGCTAAATGCCACCAGGCCCTTCCTGCCCATCTGCCTCCATCCTGGCTACAGCCAAGGGTGCAAGCCCTGGGAGCCCCCTCCTTGAGGTGGAGTGGTTGATGGCATTGCTTCTAACACACAATTTAGAATGAAGGTTCCAGCCCCAAAGACAGAGCCAGAGAGGGAGACTGGGTGTAGCATCCTCCAGAGGTGATCACGGCTGAGAGCCAGGCAGGTGAGGGCTCATCGCCCCCACCGATGCCCGGAACCCAGTTTAGGCCAGGGGGTGGGCTGAGTGCTTTTGACTTGAGGGTGCTCGTTACCTTAGCTCCTCGGGACACACCAACACCCTCCACGGCAGGAGGAGGAGGGGGCGCTCACCTGTCCGTGGCCAGGCCAGGCTCCGCTTCTACCCCCAACTCCACCCCGCGCCCCGCAAAGCCCGCCAGCTCCTTTCCAG